CTTTTTGATGACTTTTGTATCAGCTCTTAACGCTGACGATTTGATTGTTGGACAGTGCTATATGTCATATTGTAGTTGGATAGTATCATGCCATATATCATGGTGAGATAGTGTGATATTTTTGATGTGACTACCATTTGATTTGACAAGTTTGGGAATAATATGAACCCCAGTTGTCATAGCTGTTTGCCGAAAATGTGACCAAAGCTGCAGAAGGTGATGAGAATAGGATTTAGCCATTTCTGAACATGTGGGTGTTATTTACTTCTCATAAGTAATTACACAGTATACATTTATACACGTTTACATATGCATTAAGTACCTAGAATGGACCTTCGCATGTTTCCATATGATTAAGAAAACTCGCTGAAACTACTCATTTTTCTTGGACTGTGAGCACTGTTTTCAGCTGAATTTCTTCTGATGGTTTCCGGATTGTCCCTCTTCTTTCTGCTACAAAATAACCACAACTCAGAAGTGCCTCTGACTCTTTTCTAGAAATTGGGAAACCTTGCGTGGACCCAGGTAATAGTTAAAGTGCACACCAGATTCTCACAACCTGCATGATGTGGACCTGTTTTGGTCATGGGCTCACACTAGATATATAAGGTTGGCACAGTCAAGTCACTGTAATACTCAAACTCTTCAGCAGTCTCTAAATTGCGGGCAAAAATATTTAAAGTTTAATAAGTAATTTGTGACTGAAGATCAGCATCGACTACTCTCTGAAAACAGCTGTGAATGGCTAAATGATAATAACATTCTATGATATATCAGAATTTCAAATAATTTGTTAGTAAAGATATGAACAAATCATTACAATGTTAAACAACAGAAAAATGGAGCAAGATGTATGAAATGTAAAATATACTTTTTTGTCAGATTTACTTTACTAAAATGACACATCAAGTAAAAATTGGACTCATTAAGCTTGCTAAGTAAAGAAACAATTTCAGGAAACAAAATACACGTAGACTATCACTCTCAACAGGATACCAGATACGTCATCTCATTGCAAAAACGAAGCGTAAGAAATGTCCATGGTATTACTTCTACCACTGTTCATCACAAACCAGGCCGGTCCACCATCTGGCAGACCATCCATGAAAAGGTTCCAAACGTCCGGGGTTCACATCCCCATCCAGTGCATTCTTTCCTCCTCATCCTTCAACCAGATTATGTGCAGTCGAACCATACTTTTAAACCCACTTCAAACAAAACATTACATGATTTGGAATCACTGTCAGACATCCACGTGGAATATAGAATTTTACTCACACTTAGTATGTATTAAAGAATCTTTGTTTAGGTTGCCATCACATGGAAATGAAGTTCATTTAAGAGTACTAATCTTTACAGAGGAACTAAAAGACAAACAACAGTTGAACAGGCAATGTGGCCTTACCCCAATATCCTGTTTTCCAATGCAGGAACATACTATTGGGAAATCCAAAGGTTATTATACAATACAGTTTTGCCTCTTTCTATCAAAATTGAAAATTCTGGGAGACTGTTGATTTGCTTTCTGCTTAGTTTAAAATTGTTTTACTCGGTGTGGACTTTAATTGAAAATTTGTGGCCATATACCCCAAACAAAGGTACAGTGGGTAATTTTGGTGTTTGAAAAAATTAATTTTCAAATTTTTTTAAGTGATCCAACCTGACAGTTTTGGCAGCAGAAAGCTTTGGTAGTTGTGACCCATGAAAGCTGGAATTTGCACTGTTCACATATATGGTCATATAATTTTCAGAATAGCCTATAATTCTTCAGCCAGGGTTTGGAACGATGGATCACATTTGCATGAATCTTCAAATGGATCCACGAAATTCAAGTCTTTTTCTTCTGTCCAGCATCGGAAAATTGTAAGTAAAAAATAAGTGATCACTACACAACATACGATTTTTGCAGTATATGAACACTTAACTGTTTAACTGCCTAATATTTATAGTAAATCATCAAATACACACCAGTAGCTTTTTAAGTAAATAGCATCGACTTAACCAAAGATTGTATAGCGCCGCATAGCAGAGCAAGATGGAGAACTTCACTGTGAATACACGTAAAACGTTGTAATTCCATGGGTGCCATTTGGATTGGACTACGCCTGCGCAGTGCATGTTAATGCACAGGTGCAGTGACAGGCACGTACTACTAGTATGCCTGCGCCAGCGCCTATGCATTAACATGCACACTCGAATGGCGCCCATCGTGATAACACCATTTTGGCAAGAGTTCTCCATCTTCCGGCGCTACACAACGCTAAAATACCTTTGGACTCACATGTAACATCGAATAGTTTATGAACAAGTAGTTTTATCCACATCAGTGTTGCCCTTAGGTGCTGACCACAACGGCATGGGGGGGGTGGCTAGGGGCTCATACCCTCTATGAAGAAATCACTGCCCCTTGGAATTTTGAGATCTGACGTAATAGTGTTATTATGAATATACTGGGACTTGCACCTCTCCCCCCCCACTGTAACATCAATCTCCTCCTCTCCTCCACTCATCCCCTACAGTGAGAACCCAGGCTGGCTTTGCTGCTGGCTGACAAGCATGGATTAAAATATTGTGTTTATATCTAAGGGCATGTACATGTACCTGCAGCTGCCATGTCTGTCCTGACTGCGCCCGCAAGTTACAGCATATACATAACATGCAGCAAAACAAATTCGATTATTACATAAGTTTTATAAGTTACACTACTTGCTCGTACGTTATCCAGGTGTGCTGAACCACAGTTACACTTATACGGTCAGTACATGAAATCTACATCAGTGTAAACTAAAGGCACGTCACGACATCACAGAACATGGCGGAGTTAGAGTAGAAAGCCCGATCGGGCAATGTAATCAAAACCTTTTTACTGGTTACAGCATCCCCAGTTATTAAAAACCCTGGTCAGAAGTCCACATCTGGCCCCCTCGGGACCTATTTCCATGAACCCTTGGCCTCTAGAAACAGGGCCCTCTTCTGGTCTTCAACAGTCCCTTGGGTGCGCAGACATGCACTAGTGGCCTCACCAGCAGTCCATGTAGGCGTCTACTCTATACTTTGATTGCACATTTAGTCCTGATTCGCTCCCTCTACAAAATAAACCAATCTTGCATTCTGTGGTCTTCTTTGCCATTCACGACAGTCTCAAGGTGAGCAATTCCAAACAGTACCACGAAGATTGATGCTACAAAGATTTCCGTTAATTTTTGTTTCTTCTTGTCCTTAGTGTGATGTGGCAATACTGGCCCCAGAAGGCTGAGATGGGTACTAAACTTTGTGAGGTAGGCTGTCTCTCATTTGAGTATGCAAGGGAAACCCTGGTCAATGTTCTCAACTCTAGTTGAGTATGAGTACTTCTGAATGAGTACAACTGAGATGTGACATGAGTACTTTACCAAGTATCAAAATGTACTTGGGTACAAGTGTATGCACAACAGCACTGATCCTCTCTGACAATAACCTGCTTATGCAACGCCCTTGTATCGAGCCTCTTACTCCAGGAGTGGATATTCTGCTCAGAGGGTACAAATTGAAGTGCAAATGATTCGTGTGACTTGTTATTTCCACTAATTTCTTGGTTTTTCACTGAGTTGTACACAGTGACAAAGTGGACCTCATGCATATATCTTATCTTCCAGGTGTTGACAAAACTGCTTTTATAACCGGTTCAGTGCCAAGTATGATGACTATGACCTTCCTCTTTCAGTGTGGAGTCTACTTGATTTACGGATTTTCAAATACATTACCAAGCCCTGTCACGAGTGGCGTACCTTTTTACTTGGCAGCTTGGCTGGTGACCTATTTCAACTGAATTAACATCTTTTGTGCCTAGCAAATGTATGTACATTGTACCAAGCAAAAGTGAGCAGAGCACCAGTTACATGTGGAATCTACACATGCTGAGTGTATTCTGTTATCTCTCTTATGCTTATCCGTGATCTCATCACAGATTTAGATGGGCACATGTGCAATAAACAAACAAGCTTCGGTTAATAAGATGCCCCAACCTCGTCAAGAAGTTATGCAGTGATTAAGTTTGCAACACAACTTCAAACTGTCAAAAGCAATGACATCCTATGATCCACACGTTTCCGGCCTTAAAGTCACATAACTTACTTGACATGAGCCAACTTGCCTCTACAAGCAACCATTTTTCTGAACCTTCTAGAATGGCATTAGCTTTTCTTGAAATCATTCAACCATGCCACCATGCTTTCACATTTCACTATGGGATACTTCCCAAAGTAACCGAATTGGCGAATCAGTTTTTTTTTTTTCGCAAGCTCTCGGACAAGCACTGAGCATACAGTGCTTATTAATATACGTTGGGTAAGGGCAAAACCCGTTATATATAATTAACATCTCCCCAACGCAAAAAAAAAAAAATACATCTTGAAAACTACTTATTCAAGATAAACTAGTCAAGCATGCAGCGTTCGCACATGCGCTTGCACGTGATTGAAGTTGCCCGTAAGAATATACCACCATACCTGGTGGTATTGTTTACATTTAGTCACAGCAGTGAAAAAGGTCTGTGGTAAGTGTTGAAAGCTTTCTTCCTATTTTACTGTAATCTAATGGTCTTCTCTCGGTTCTCCCTGCATTTAAGTTGCACAAAGGAGAATTTTATTAGTTTTTTGAAGGGTAACATCATACTAACACAGTGTGAGCTCAATACCATGAAAAAACAAATGAATTTTTGTGAAGTCAGTTACCCAGACTCCATTTAGTCTTTTTCAATGTTGATTTGCTGCTCATAGGGAGGTGACTGTGGGGCCGACGCCTTGTACTTTTCGTTGTACAGAATGTAGCACACTAGAGCAACAAAGAACACGATGAACCCGCCCAGAACATTGGCCAAAACCCCCTGTGCTGGTAGTTCCGAGTAGTTCTTGCTGTGGGGTTGAAATGTTTGGATCAGAGTGAAACAAAATTTACCAAGCATCTGAGCGTAATTTACGAATGACGGTGGATTCAAGTTCATGCTTTATCACCTCATGCCAAGGGCATTTGAAATACACGGGCTCTGAAATTTCCCAAACACCAGCTGTGCTGGTATCCTATACCATGCTCAGCCCATTTCAATTTCAAGGGATATCAAGTCCCATGTAAAAGAGTGATTGTACATGTAGGCCTTGCCTTCCGCAGTCCCAGAAAATCCTGACAAATTTCCAAGAGGATTTAAAAGGGTCTGAGAGTGTAGATTAAGAACTTGGTTCAACCAGAAATACAGGGCATGCAAGTGCATCCAAAAAGATAAGTCTTGGAGAAATTTTCTAGGCATGTTTTGAATTCTTACGGTGGGTTTTGTTGCCAGGAATTGATTTGGATTATTGTTTCTTTTAACGTCCAGTCTTCATGCACAAAAAGACCAATGGGGATCTTTTGCATTTTGCCTCGCCAGGAGGAATAATCTGGACATCCTTTTAAGACTCACATTTTGAAGGAGATGAACTCGGCAGTTCCCAGCAATGATGTAGCCGCAGCCATCAGGAAGATCAACGCGCCGCCGTAAACGTGCACATGGAGGTACACTTTGCGGAGGTACTCCGTGGACGACGGGAGAAAGTACCCGCCGATGATGAACGCCAAAAAGCCCAGAATAAGCTGCAGAAGAAACACCAAAGCTATGGTATACAAGTTTTCTTTTGGCTTCTTGTCGATTCTATACCCCAACTCGTGATAGGGTGTTTTGCTTAACCCTCAGGAATCTCCCCAGATCCTCAACTCTGCAAGAAACCGCAGCACGTTCCTTGTGCTCAAATGGTCGAGGGGCATCAACCATCATGTAGAGTCCAGTTACCAGTCACCTGGCTATACCAGCCTCCATCATCCAACAAGGCTGCCAACACTGAGTGTTAAGATATACCAAGGCATGGCTCTGTAAGCCCTTTTTGAACACAGCCTTATTTCTTACATGTACAAAACACACGTACGACATCATGACACTTCAATTATTCTTAATCTACTTAACCACGGCCACGCCCTAGCAGTTCGAAACTGTTCTCCCTAGGGGCCCTGAGGTAAGAAAACATGAAAGGAATGTTCATTTTAATTGACTGGAGGAAAACTTGGAGAAACATTTTTGGGAGAACCCATGGGCAGTGGCCACAACCTAATTCACACATCCGGCTCGGTGGCATTCGAGCCCAGGTCCCAGAGGTGGAAGGTGATTAGGGAAAGTAGCACTCTTCTAACGTAACTCCCCTGGACACGGAAAACCTGACTGGATTTCGTTGTCGTTTTAGTATTTCATTTTAAGGCACAACAGTGTACGAATAGCCTGAAATACACAAGTCCCACACTTAATGTGCGGAAGTTGGCCGCCTTGCTCCGATATCCTCTGGAATTTCAAATAAATTTGACCCTCGCCCTCCTTCAAATTACCTGAACACAGAAGAAGGCAAAGGTGGCAATGCCCACCCAGCTGTGCAAGGAGTAGAGGTTGGCAAAGCCGCTGGCGTTGTGGAAGTGGAAGACGCAGGCCAGAGCAAAGGAGGCAAAGACCACAGCCAACGTTTGCAAGATCAGGTGGATGATCTTGACCACTGTCCGGTTGAGGAAGTTGCCGATGATACGGTAGGTCATCAAGGCTACCCGGACATACAAGAAGACAAAAAAAAGGACCAGTCAATTATAGAATAGGTAATTATAGCAGGGGTTGTCAGGCGTTTGGATGGGTCCTAAAATTTTGGATGGGTCCCAACGTTTTTACCGTTGTGACCTGAGGTCATTATTCCCCGAGCGAAGTAGGTTAATTGGTTTTCCAATCTTGACCTGATTCCCCGGGATGCTCCTGTTCATGACACATTCATGTACACAAATACGCATTCTGCAGCATTTTACACCTGGCAGTTTCTACTGTTGATTTTCTGTTCACATCTGAATTACATTGTTGCTTTGTGCCTTATCTTTCTTTTTTCTGAGGCGCATGTGCTTTAGTGTGTGAGCTTTTAACTCATCTGGAGACCTCCAAATGTCCCCAGTACGTTTTTTGGCTCCAATTTTAACTGCCACACATTATGTGTGGGTCTCAACAACTGTAGGCCAAGGGTAGGTTGGTTATCCATTATGACTGAAGACTTTAATACAATAAAGGGTCTAATCCAAAATCTCTCACCATTAGCATTTAGGAAGAGGAGCCCCAGCACCATGAATACGGGATGGAGGTTGAATTCCTTGCTGCTGCGGTCAAGGGCAAAGCCATCCTGGTAAACAACCATCCAGGCGATGACCAGCCCCACGACCACCAGGCCCACCGCCTCGGCCAGAAGCACCAGTGGCATAAATGCAGACACCATCTCTGCTCAGTGTGTGATGTTGAAAAATCAGGATTCTGCTTATCTCCGGAAATGCTGTTTCTTTGAATGAAGATGAAGCAATGAAGATAGATATTTTTAGCACAGATTAGAGACAGCAAATCAGGCCAACTTCAGGCCAATCTGCCATCAGAAAATAGTTTCTACTCCAGTTTGTGAAGTTTTTAGGGAGAAAACAGCCTTTTTTTGTTTTATCATTGTGGATTTTTGCAAAATGGCAAATGGATTTCCTGGATTCTTTTTTTGGATACTTATGTGCCCACGCTTGAAGAGTTCTCTCTCTAACAACCTTTTATCTACAGCTGAATGGTGATAAACACAGTCAGGATCTGCTTGGCCAGAAAACCAGACAGTGTTAAAGACGTATATCCCAATAAATAGCAATAAAATAGACCAATATTAGCAACGTTAGAGTGAGTTCTGCATCCAGTCCCAAAATTCTTGTGTTTCATAAATACCTCCAAGCTTCAAAATACAACTTAAAAAGAATCTTCCTGAATCTCAGGAATGACTTACTTTAATACCCCCACCAGAATTAGTCAGGAATGGGAACAGCAAAATCTTCAAAAATTACTATCCACTTGTGTTCTGAATTACATAAATGCTTGACACAGCCTTCAATTTTAAGACTTTCATCAGGAAGTATTCATGCAATACAGAAGAAGACATTTTTTTCTGTATTTCATGTTCTTGGCACTAAACAGTGACTCAAAGTGTTCACAGATAGTCCCAGGCCTACTTTCTGCCCAATTTTTCACCAGTTTGGCCGACTTTCGATTCCGGCTGAATCTTTCTCAGAGGCAAAATGACAAGTGGACAGAGACAAACAAGCAAGCAGGGAATCAACCAAGCATGGACGAATGCAGAAGGACAAAGAGAAGGGGCGAGAAAACTGGTGGCTGGATGAAGGGGCCGAGGGTAAAGGGGACGCAGTGAAAGGCATGGTTGAACAACAAAGGGATGTGAGGTAGGAAGAGATCAAAGAACAAATACAATGGAAGGTGGTGGACCCCCGGTGAGGGGGGGGTATAATCTGTAGACCAAAGCGAGGGAGAGAACAGAGTGTTAATTAGTAGTTTCCCTCTTGGATGTTCAGCCCATGGGGGTTGTATGGTGTGGAGGTGTTTGATCCAAAGCTTCTCCCTGTTGAAGCGAACAGCATCTTTACGGTGCCCATGTGATTCTACGCCCTGTAAAATCATGTCAGAAATGGAATGGTTTGGAAAGTTTAAGTGATGACCCACAGGGGTATCTAGACGGTGTTTTAAGTAGATCTGTAGCCACAGAAATGCTTCTTGAGTGTTCTTAGTCTCTCCGACATACTCAACACTGCACACCCTGTAAGAGATAATATACATGTATCTGACATTAGAAGAGCTACAAGTAATGGTGCCTTTGGATCTGTGAGTGGCAGAAACCTGGAAATGACAGACTGTGCCAAGCGTTTATATACCAACACAACTGGACGTTTATTTTCAAAGATTTTATTGTTTCTGACTAATTCTGGCAAAGATGTTAAAGTAAAATCTTTCCCAATTTCATTTTTCCCACACCAAACTGAACTATCTTGAAGATGCAAGGTTGGTGGAATTTATTGCGTTTGGACTGAAACCCTTTAAGCTCCCTGCAAAACGGACGTCGGACAATGTGAACATTTGCCAACTCGACTTCGGCAAACTGGACCATTTGCCAAGTTGTCCGTTAATTAAGACAACTGACTTTGACAAGGAGATAACTCGATCCTGTGAGATAACTACATTCAAATATCTGGACAACTGGTCAGTGCGGGTGCAAGTTATTTTGACCTATCCGTTTGGCATTGTGTGCGTCGCATGAAGTGCAACTCTACTCGGACACAGCACGGGGTGGTGTAGCTTTGACAGGGCTAACAGACAGCGCAGCGGTGTGGCATCCTACCTCTCTGGTACTGCCCTACTCGGTTCTACATCTCCCCAATTTCCTGACGTCAGCTTGGTTTTCGAAATGTACAAAATTTCAAAAACGTGTAGGCCTACAGTGATTAGCAGTAGTGCTAGTATTAAACAGTCTGAATTTCACGTATTTCACACGTCTCAACAGATGACTTGACCAAACGGACATCTTGTCTCGACAGACGACTTGTCCTGAGGTTCGACTAGTCTTTCCTTTTGACTCACAGATGCTTGAGTTGTCGTAATGGTCAAGTTGTCTCAACGGTCAAGTTGGCCCAAGTTGAGTCTTGCAAACGGTCCAGTTGTCTGGATGCCTAGCAAACACCGTGCATGCTTAGTTGCTGAGGTGGTAAAATGTTATCAAGGACCATTCAGGATAAGCAGGATTAGTTCACTATCCACCTATCCATTGCCCATTTTTAAGCAGGAAGGCCTGCGTTAGTATGTAAACTCAACATTTATGAACAGATGAACAGGAATGTTGAGACTAAAAGGACAGCTTGAAAAATGTCACTTAGGCCTACGTACTGTGAGTAACATTTTGCTCTGGTAGGGTACTAGACTTCTGGAGGCGAAAAATTAACATACGCCACGCATTGGGCAGTGTAATGGGGATGAACCATCAGCCATGTTAATATTATTCCCAGAATTGTGAGGCACTCTCCGTGCCCACGCGTCATGGAGAGTGCCTCAAAATTCGGGGGGTGGGAGTAGCCCTACAGCCTTGGTCACGTTGGTCTGTGCATGTGTTTTATTTCTCCATGGTCTGTGTATGGAAAAAAAATAAACTAGTAAAAGACAGTACTTGAAACTTGAGCTGGCAACCGGCTTTTCATCTACCTTTGCTCCGGAATTTCGTTGGAGTAACTGTTTACTCAGGACCTCAGCTACACCATATCCAACGTACGTGCCCCTATATAACACTTGACATGTTTGGTAATTCATGAACTATGTCAAGTGTTTATACCTGGCGATCACGTGCATCTCTGAGCACGTGACTCTCTACCGTAGATAAACTTCAGTCCTACAAAACCATTCAAACGTGAGAAGACAAGTTGACGATGCAAATTACGAGGGAAACAGTGAAGACACACAAACTCCCGAAGAGAAAAATGGTGATTCATCATACCATCCAAAAATATGAAATGATGTCGTACCGATGAAATAAAAATTCGTGAAATCGATTTAAGGACTTACGGCGAGTCAATGTTTGTGCAAGCGTATTAGATAATTACTTAAAACAGTGCCGAGTGGTGGCGCTCTTTTGACTGTAAGCCGTCTCCAAAAATGTCCAACGGTGAAGACCAGCAAAGAAACTGCTAACAGTTAATACCTGACCTTCGAAAATTCAGGAAAAATACTCACGAGTTTCTCAGGCGGTTGAGACGTTCATCAAATTAAAGCCCATTTTATGGATTTTCATTTTCTTTTCGAATTTTTATTCATTAACCGATGACTTTTGAAGATATTTTTCCACAGAAGGTCAGTAGTAGGCGTAGGACTGTTCTAGATCAGCCTTACCCTCCTATAAATCTAGGTCGGTTTAGTCTACTCCCACTCCCACCGAGACCCCAACTCCCACCGAGACCCCAACTCCCACCGAGACCCCCCCGGATGTTGGCTGTGGGCCCCGGTGGTAGTGGGGGAAAGTTGGTCTCAAGTTGGGACTGGTGGGTCGTCGAGCGGTCCCGGTGTTGGCTGTGGGCGCGCCCCGGTGGGTTGGTGGGGAAAAGTTGATCCAGCTAGAGTTGGGCGTTGGGCCGGTGGAGGGGGGGTCGACGAGGTATAGGAGGGCAAGCCTGATCCAGAACTGTCCTACGTCTACTACTAGGTCATCCCTTAAACGCGGCAGTCGCAGAGCCCAATCGTCATGTTGAAAAATCAATGCCAGCGCTACACTTCTCAAAAAAAAAAAAAAAAAAAAAACGTTTTCAGGCACCAATTTCTTCCAGATTTCACTTAGACACAAGCTAGCATTCCGTTTGGTCGCCTAAACCTGTCCTTTCTAACAAAAAAAAATTCAAGTTCATTTGCCACAAAATACCCTATTTCGCAAATTGTGAATTGGCAAGCGTAAGTAATTTTCAGCGTATTTCGTGTACTGGCCTCCACCCCAAATTGGTTGCAGCTCGCCCGTGCGGCTTGCGGCCAAAACGTGAAGCCGCTTGCTGGTGGCTTCCTGCAATGAGGTGCATTTTCCCGGCCATTCCTCATGCACATGCAGACGATTTTTAGTTGTAGGACATTTTTCCTATTATCCAAAATAGTTGATGACGCCATCCTTTATACAAGCAATACAGAATTATGCCGGGCATGGATTCAGAAAGGGACTTGGGCCAACCCCCCTCTGACGTACACGACATTCACCAGTACAAAGAATATGAAAAATAAAAGTTGAAATGAAGTAGTAGTTATAAACAAGATGACATCCTGTTAGGGTTGTTATTTGTACATACGTAAAAATGTAATGCATTACATATCTGTCCCGAACAATCGGACATAAAAAAAAATCAAACGACCCTGACCCCCTGGAAAACTTCCAGGATCCGACCTGCATTCGAACTTGATAACAGAGCTAGTCCGCACAAACAAACTGCGGGAATTATCGATTCAGGGGCGGATCCAGGGGGCTTGGAGCGCACGCCCCCTTTTTTCACCCCCCCCCCCATGAATAGGCTCATGCTTGAAGTTCTTGGAACCAAACCGTCTCAACAGGCGCTTAAAGTTTCACTCGCGATTTTCTGCAATCATGCAATTCACTTCTTTTATGTTTATTATAATTATGGTAATTAGTATGAGAATACTGTGGAGCCAGTATATAACTGACGTAAGTCGGGGATTATGAATAAATAAACGCAAAAACCAGTATACTGCTTTTTTGATGCTTGTGTGTATGGGAGTTAAAGAAGATTCTCTTATATTTTTGACATTTCTCTAATGTAAATCAGTACGTGGCTGGATCATATTTCTTAATATCTTGAGTGTGCTTTAATGTGCTTACTTAATGGTTCTCATTCATCCATTTCGTATGGATTGTTTAAGATGTTTAATGGATTTTATTGTAATTGCTGGGCGCCTCTGGAAAACAGTGATTCACTGAGAGGTCTCCCCAGGGTAAATCAGAAACAAATAAAATAGCATAAAATAAATGTGTATCATTTCACTGACTGATGACACCATAATAAATCAAACTGTACTTGTTTTACATATCTTAAGACATTTGTTTAACAGTTTTTACATAAAACAGCAGCAATATAAAAAGTGCATCGACATGCTGCTGACCTAACTAATATTATCATCTTAATTCAGGCAAAAACTGAATAAAAATCGGTTGGAAAATTCGACTGATCGCTTAGGATAATCCAGTTTCAAGTTCATCGAAGGAAAATGCAGTTGGAGGTGAACATCAAGCCTCGCAACACAGCTGAACGTGCGTGAATAGAGCCTGAAAGTCAAAGGTCACTCAGCGAGCTTCCGGAACCGCGACGCGGTCCGCCTATTGGGATTTTACATGGGCCGTCCTATCATGTTCGATAATTTTGGGAAGAATAATTCCTAACTGAAATCACCCCATGAAACGCTCATTTTGGAATTTTACCTTTGTCTTCCTCAACTAATATTTAGGAAAAGTCACCTGGAGATGGGTAAAAATCGAATTTTATCCACGACAGTTCACATGTGGCGATATTGTACCTAGGTCTCCTAGTTCATGCATGCTTGTTTTCACTCCCCGTGCTTACGTGAAAACGAGATTGTAAAGATTCACCTACCTGAAGTCGATGGGTTCCATGTTCCGTTGATTTGACATAACGCAGTTGTTGTCAGCAAAGGTTAAGTAAAATATTAGAATCTCTCGTAAAAGTAGATTATTGCTTGAAGTTTATGACCTTATAAATTAATCAAAACACTTTGATCTGTTTTTATTTCGGTTTTTACCGACAGACTACCATAAAATTTCAAATCAAATGTTCATCTGGCGTACGAGACCGCCGCATTGGACTGTTCTTCATGTATTTTAGATTTTCGAAAGGGATGGGTCAATTTTTGGCAGGATATTTCTCTTTTAGGTGAGGTAATTGTTCAGCTAGTAAATATTTTCCAAAGCCTTTTTTCCAACTTGGAAGTAACTGAACTAAAATATATTGCATTTGCACGTGATTTTTCCTATCCAAGGGTTCGGGATGCGCGCCCTCAGGGGTCAACTTTCAGGCTCGTTTTACAAGAAGAAAACCATCACTCAGAATAATTTGGTAAAAAGGTGTAAAAACTGATCGCCCGATGTGGGGCTCGAACCCACGACCCTGGGATTAAGAGTCCCATGCTCTACCGACTGAGCTAACCGGGCCTTACTACTCAAAGAGCGGATCACAAAGTATATATTGTTGTAAGAAAATCTTTAAAATTGCCCTTTATTTCCACTAATATGCGGCTTATTTGTAATAAACTGGTATGTAACCCTGATTCGGTCACCAAAATACAGCACTCCGACTTATGAAACATAAACTTCAATGAAAAATCCACCAGGGTAGGCAATACTACTAGGCAGGTGCACTGCACTGCACTGTTCATGAAGGATCTCACAAAACCCCGCGAAATGAATTTCCCGCGGTTGGGATATTGTCAATAAAACGACAAAGGAGTGCATTCAACCTTGTCGGCCAGACTAGCTTTACCAGTCCTCCTTATGAATGGTCAAGTGCGACCTCACACTGGTCCTTGAGTCCACGAAATTGATAACACCACAGTGAAGATCTCAACACGATTCTGCTAAAATATAGTTTGTAGGTGTACTAACAGCCTCATTTCTTTTCTTTTGACCATTATCATCTGATCACGGGGGAAATAGAGGGAGGAACGGTCAGGAAGTATTCACACAAGTTTGGTACGAAAATGTCCACATATGATATCCTGTTCTTTGTATAATTCTATCAAGTATTCTTTGAAAATAACGAAAAGTGGGTGTTTGGTCAATTTCAAAATCCCTCGTTTAAAAGTATTGGCAGTAAATTAATATTTAAATTTAAATATAAGACTTAATTGCTAAATAATTATTTATAGATAAAGATAACAGGTTTACTTGTATGGAAGCCATGTTTTATTAATTTATATTGTCTTATGTTGTATGGGATGTGTAATCTCTTGATGTAAACTTAACTTAATTAATGTGGGGCCACTTCTAGACAAGCTTTGCTTTTTAGCGACCCCCGTCCATCCTAATTATATAATCAATCTTAATAATGTGTATTTACCCTTTGTAGTGGTAAATAAAGTAAAGTAAGACTGATTGAAAATGTGTCGTCTATAGAGGTCGCTGGTACACGTGAACGTAACACGTATGTGTGTTGTACGTACGACCAGTGAATGGTGAGCGCGTTGTACATAAAACGTGTCTCGCTAGCTAGTTACATACACGGTCGGACGTCAGACTGACGACCCGGCCATACAGGATCGATTCGAAGTGTTTAACCTCGATATTTTCCAAGTAAAGGTAAGAAAAATAGTATCAGATAAATGGGCATCCTACCACCTGGAAGAAAACCATGTTTTTCTTTGGGTTTGCCGACTTTGCTCGCTCTGGTCGGCCAGTGTAACGTGCAACGATTGCAAACTTCATAAAACTCGGGCCGGGGATATGAAGTAAGTTGACGGTTGATATGCACACTCATCCACTGCTTAGTACATGTAGGCCCTTGTTAGTCATGCTACTTGGTACGGTGTGCCATGGTTCACCTAGTAGTTACTGCTAGGCCTACTACTGTGTCTGCGCGATGTTGAGGTTGGTCACATTTTGCCGAGTCGGGACAATGATTCGGACGTTCGCTGTCCTGTCACAACAACGTTCAACAACCTCAGTCACAGCAAAGCTTGCGTAGCCAGTTCATTAGTTTTGTTTTCTTGTTTGCAAAATATCGAACCCCTAAATTACTATTTAGGACGTTGCTTTCAGCAGTTTGGTATTCTATTCCGAAACCAGCTGAGCTGACCATGACATTGGGCCATTCCAGTTTCATGCAGTGAAGTTACGGTCGTAATTAAGGGCAGTGCCGTTGATCATTTAATTTTACTGTAAGCAGGTACCATAGGTAGGCCAGTGCTTACTGTAGAAACTGATAGAAACAGTCTCATGCTT